GGATTTACAGTCTCAGTCCACAGCCCCTGTGCAGTGTGGATTTACAGCCATCAGTGCACAGCACCTGTGTGTGCAGTGCGGATTTACAGCCATCAGCCAACAGCACCTGTTCACTGCAAATTTACAACATTTTTAGTGTTTAGGAGTGTCTATAATTTCCATGTTTACTCCATAATCATATGATGTTTTTAATTAAAAATCTTAGTTAAGAAAAGTATACATCTGGTATTTGAATCACCAATACTGCTGAGTAAAGTCAGTGAATTAAGCAATATACAAACCAGGAATACCGACGAGCCTGAGGAGACTGTTAAGCTTTGGAGATTCCAGCTGTTTTGTGAAAAAGTTTTAAACATCTGATGGGTGGTTGAATCAGATGATTCCTGCAAAGCCTGCCTTCTTATGATTCACGGGTGATAAGAATTAACTGGCCAGACCACGAGGTTTCCTTATGGGTTGAAGGTAAGAGAGTAAAGTCTGCATCAAGGCAAACGCACCACAAAAACTAAATAATTATAGCAAGGTAACAAGCTTCCATAAAGCTTATCCTGTTTAGTATCTAGTCAATGATAACACTTAAAAGATATTACTTTCTTTTAATGTAAACCTTCAACTTTTGTTTACCAAAACCAAAAGAAAAGAAAAAATGCCAACAGAAAAACACCTTTTGTCCTACAAAAAATAATTTCAGCTGCTTACAAACACACACACACACACACACACACACACACACACACACACAATACTGGTAACATCTGTACTTGAGAAATCACTGAATGTCAGTCATACAGGCTTTCCTAGTGTCTTCTCGAGCAGAAGAGCTTGAACAAGATGTCCAGTATCACAGCTGCTCCCATATTCGAGAAGCCATTACTGGATTTGGGAAAACAAAGGACTACTGAGACAGAGAAGAGATCAAATGACTGGGGGATGACTCTATGGGTAAATCACCTGCAGCACAGCAGTGAGGCCAGGAGTTAATATCCTGGCACCAAAGAAATGCCAAACAGGCTTGGTTGCCACCCTATGATCCTTGCCCCCAAGGATGGAGCCAAGGGATTGATTCTGCTAGGGCAGTCAGAATACCTGAGTCTTCAAGCTTAGGTCCTAGTGACAAATTCTGCCTTAATATGTAAATGGAAAAGTGGTCAAGTCAAAACCCCATTTGCAAGTTCTGGCCACCATGTTCCTATGCACCCATGCATATGTGAACACACATACACATACAGCAATGAAAAGGAAACTGAATGCCTGAATAGGTCTAAACATCTATAGCAAAAATGCTCTATATAATTAATATTCTTCCCAGAATATTTTGTTATGTTTTCTCTAAAAAATTTTTATATATTTCTACATATTGAAGAGTTTTGTAAACGGGGACATCCTTCCTCTCCTTCTGATTTATTTTTTCATCATCTGGCACCACATAACCAACCCCTCTTCTCGCTAAGCCTGGCTCTTTCAGGAATCTCTTACTCCTCAACAGATCTCAGCATCTGTCATATCTGTTCTCCTGATTCGTGATTTCCTTCATGCTCCTCAGACTTGTACTGTAGCTTCTTCCTCATATCCAACCTCCCCAATTTGTGTGTATGCATGTGCCCTCTTTTAGAATGCATTTCATATCATTCACAGCTTCCTGTTATGCATTATGTAAACATCCATAATATATGGGAAAGAGTATGGTGGCATTGACGTAATTAGAACAAAAAGTGATACATAGTCTTTCATCTGAGACAAGCACAAGAGAAATAGAAATAAAAAAAATCTTCAGGCTGATAGAAGAGCCTCTAAATAATGGGACACAGCTGAAAACTCCTAAATACGGATGAGGTCCTGACTCAGGACTGTGACTGCTGTTTGGTTCATAAGTAGACACCTGGGAGAGAGGCCCCATGGACCCATGAACTCTTTACAGCACAGAACAGTTTACAAGAGAGGAAAAATGTGTACACAGGAGTTCTACCCAATCACCCTTGTCTTCAGACTCTCTACTTTTAGGTAGGTGAATGTTTGGGTGGTGGGGGCTGCTGTGCCCCAGGGTCAAAGAGAGACATATTTAGCTTCTGGGTTGCCCTGCACTTTACTACAGAGTCAATGTCAATCTAGTTTCCTCAGAGATCCATTTCCCTCGTGTGGTCTATGGTCTAGGCAATGGCCAATTTTACCCAGCCTTTTACTTTATATTTCTGTTTGCATGTAAACTTCGTCTTTGACAGGACCCACATCAAACGGGACCATCTAACCCCATTTCCTTCTTCCCTATTACTTAGTCTTCAGTTTTCAAGCTTTATTAATATCTCCTTCTCAACTTCCTGAGTGCCTCTTTTGCTGCCCCATATCCTTCATACACTGCAAGCAGCCCTTGTCCTATGTCAATTAAATGAAACACAACAACAATCACAATGTGTCTCAAATCTTTTTTATTCCTTTCCATTTTCTTCCTACTATAAGTTACTGTTCTTCTTCTTTGTCTCTCAATTTGTCTGAAATGATGTTTTCTCACCCAGAAAATGTTCCTCCTTCCACATTCAGCTTGTCACCTCTTTAGTGGATACAGCCTCTGTACAGTTGTCAGTGCTAACGATACGCCCCCTCCCTCAGGTCACGATTTCTCATCTATCCTCAGTGGCAGGCACATATGTGTCCTGCTAACAACACAGCATTGTCTTGTTATGTCCACATCACATCCTCACTGTTTCACCACTTCGGAGACAAGAACAAGCGTTTAAATAAAGGTCTACAGCTAACAGCCTGAACAGTAGCATGTTTAAGAGAACTGAGATATTCTACATAGGCTGTATCAAGTAGGTTTTGAAGATCCAGCCCTGGAACCCACTAGTTTTGAGTAACTATTTCTATGGAAACAGACATTCTAAATTCCAAGCAGCACATACACACATGGACTTGTTACCTTGAGAATCCATGGGGCCATCAGCTGACACTGGGGCTGGAAGGCAGCCTCCATTCTGGCAACTGGCTTTGCCTTTCTGAGAGTTGGATGAGTTTCGTACCAAGGTGCGAGAGGCAAGTCAGTCATTCACCCCAACCAACACCAGTCAGCCAGCGATCCATCAGATGTTTTCTGCCAACGTGGCTTTCCTGAGTGTGTACCATGCTAATAACTGTATACTGTGTGCGTAGGGACCTCACAGAGGTAACCTTTTCCCTCCAGGTCAGCCCTGACTTTGAGCTCTGCAACTTCAGAGTCCTCTGTGAGCTTGAGTCTGGTGTGCCTGCCGAGGAGATTCAGTTCATTTACATGGAGCAGCTCCTCACAGATGACCACTGCTCGCTGGGTACCTATGGTCTCAAAGATGGTGATATGGTTGTACTACTTCAGAAGGACAATGTGGGACTTCAGGCTCCAGGAAGGACTCCAAATCAGCCTCGGGCAGAATTCACTGCATCAGCTGTGGCAGGAACAAGTTCCCGACACGAGCATCACCAACAGCAACGGATACCATCAACACAAACCCATGGATTGGCCTCTGGAGAGAATATGACCTATGCTCAGGATCTTAACAGTCCTGCTCTGATTCGCAGCATGCTTCTTTCCAACCCCCATGATCTGTCCCTGTTAAAGGAACGGAATCCTGCTTTGGCTGAAGCTCTGCTTAGTGGAAACCTTGAGACATTTTCCCAGGTCCTGATGGAGCAGCAGAGGGAAAGGGCCATGAGAGAGCAAGAGATGATTCGTCTTTATTCTGCTGACCCATTTGATCAGGAAGCTCAGGCTAGAATAGAAGAAGAAATTAGACAGCAGAATATAGAAGAAAATATGAACATAGCGATGGAAGAGGCTCCGGAGAGTTTTGGACAAGTGGCTATGCTCTATATTAACTGCAGAGTGAATGGGCATCCTTTAAAGGCTTTTGTTGACTCAGGTGCCCAGATGACCATCATGAGCCAAGCTTGTGCTGAGAGATGTAACATTATGAGACTGGTGGACCGGCGATGGGCTGGGGTTGCTAAGGGAGTGGGCACACAGAGAATTGTGGGCCGAGTTCATCTGGCTCAGATTCAGATTGAAGGTGATTTCTTACAGTGTTCTTTCTCCATACTGGAGGAGCAGCCCATGGATATTCTTCTAGGGCTGGATATGCTCAGAAGACATCAGTGTTCCATCGACTTAAAGAAGAATGTGCTGGTGATTGGCACCACCGGCACACAGACACACTTTCTTCCTGAAGGAGAATTGCCCTTGTGTGCAAGGCTGGTGAGTGGAACTGTACAAGAAGACTCTTCAGACAAGGAAGTAGCAGGCAATATCAAGCATTCAATCAAGGGTCCAGCACGAAAAAAGCATTGAATCAGGTTATATATAAGCCACTTCCATGACGGAGCTAGCCATAGGTCCCAGGAAAGTAGAAGATATGAGCTCATTGGCAATGCCATCATTAAAAACATCTTAGCAACCAGATTTGGCCTTGTGACTGAGTACACAGATGGGTGGCTATGTAAGTCATCACTGTTAAACATAGTGTATGTGTGGGTCCATTCTTCCACTCCAGATCACTGAACCTCATCCAGGAGAGGGGCCGAAACTTCAAGTTGGTTTCCCAACAATCTAGTGGAGGGAAAATGAGTCTCCCTGTCAGATTACATGGAGGACATGTTCAAACCAAGACTGCTAATTTTGCATAAGCTCCTAGGGAAAAAAGCCATTCTTTCAGATTACAAAGACCTGTAAACAAAATGATTTTACATTAACATTAACAATAGTTTTGTATTACCCCAGCTGTCTGTGTGTGTGCACGTCTGTGTGCATGTGTGTGTGTGTGTGTGAAAGTGTGCACACACAAGTGCAGGCCAGAGATTGAAAAAGTTGATATTTTCCTTAACTGCTTTCCACCTTAGTTTTTGAAACAAGTTCTCTCACTGAATCTGGAGCCTTCCCAGTGTTGCAATAGTGTAGCTATCTAGCAAGTTTATCCATCTTTTTCTAGTGAATGCTAGAAAGGAAACATAGGTCCTAATGTTTGTGCACCAGGCAGTGAACTGAGCGAGCAATATCTTCAGCACCCCCAGAACATCTCTCCACACACCTTTGTAAGATGGTATCTCATCATTCTAACCCGGCTTCAGACTTGAGGTATGCCTAAAGATGATCTTCTACTTCTGATTCCCCTGCTTCCACCTCTTGAGTGCTGCGAGTGCAAGCATGTGCCAGCACATCCATTTTTTGTGGTGCTGAGGAGCAAATACAGGCCTTTGTGCATGCCTGACAACATTCAATCAACTATGTTAGCATACCTAGCCTGAATTATTTTCATACTCACAGATATGGCTGCTTTCACATTTGTTTTCATGAGGAAAGTTCCGGAAAATGGTGCAGATTTGACTCCCTTATTAAGCTAACATTACTAAATGCCCACTTGGGAAAACATACACACCAGGTTTATGACACTTTATGGTTTATGGTTTCTCTACCTCCAGATTCCATTCTGATCACGCTTATGAAGTCTACCCCCAAACTTAATTTTGATATGCTTCGATGGAGAGGTTTGAAATCCCCAAGGCATGTTCCTTTCCTTGTCCTTAAAGAAAAAGCAATAATTGTAAGAAAAAAAAATTGTGTTGAATGTTTAGTCTTAGTTCTGGCACTTCTTGGTCTGTATGGTGCTGGGCTTGGAAGGTGAGCATAAGCCACAGTCTAGGACTCTAATGTCTAGTTCAGTTAGGCCATCTTGAAAGCATCTGCTTAGGCCTTTCTGCTCTGTGACTCCTTGAAGAAAGCCAACTTTCAGTACAACTAACGTGGAAAATACAACTCTTTGCCTCAACATCTCCCTAAAACACCTAAGAATAAAAGTCAGATCCAGAGACCATCAGATTCTGGGAAATGATTGGGGGCAATGACTTACTACAAGGGCTTATGTTATAGGGCTGGAGAGATAGCTCTGTGTGAAGATCACTGTTTTCTCTTCCAGATTACCAGGTCAGTTGCCAGAATATATGTAAGATGGTTCACATCACACCTAACCATGATTCCAGTTCCAAAGGGATCCAGTGCCTTCTTCTGGCCTCTGAGAATATCACTCACAAACACATACACTCACACATATACTCACAATACATACACAGTATATTTTTTAAAAGTTAAAAATATTGATATTATATCAATCCTCTAAAAGCCAAGGAGTACCAGCCCTGGGTTTTCCTCTCTGTCACATAGACAAATCATCTACTTCAGGCTTCTACCCATCATCCTTGAATTGCTTCAAAGGTAGGACTGCTTTACAGTGGCCAGTACATCAGTGTGATCTTGTTTACTAAGCAAGGTCTAAGTCATTTGAAGAGTTACTAAAGGTTATAAGAAAGAATAATCCTCTCTGATAAGCAGATTTTAATTTCTTTGGCTTGATTCTTGGTTATGCTCATCATGTACTTCTGAAATAAGTCCACCTGCAGTTTTTCCACACCCGCTCCTCTAACATTACCTATGTTCGTGTAAAGTGTTATACTCAGCAGAGCTGTTAAAAGATCTGTGGACCAATGTCTTTTTGATCTGTGCTACTAATCAGCACTCAAAATGAATTGTAATTACAAATGAAAGACAATCAGAGCCAGTACCAAATATGCTAGCATTAGAATGTCACATGATATCTATTCCAACATCAAATGACCTCTCTAGTCTACAAAAGTCATTCAAAAAATTCACAGGATCTTTAAGATGAAGGATTGTTTACAATCCAATCTTTACATCTCCAATCTTGCTGCACATTCTTTTCTTTCTTCGCAAGTCACACTTAATGAGATGGGTGGTCATACGGTAAGTCTGCTGCAACTTATTATGTAATAGTATGTTCACACTGATAAATGCCCTTCTCATCTTTCTTTCCTTCGGCCCCCCCCCCCCCGGCTGCTTGTCCTCTAGCTTTCTGCTTTTAGAAGAGTAGGAATCACTTTTGTTTGTTTAAACACTACTCGTACTTAATTTGCATGTACATACCTCTCTGTGTGTGTGTGTGTGTGTGTTTGTGTGTGTGTGTGTGTGTGTGTTTAAGTGCCATAGAAGCATAGAAGCCAGAAGGGCATGACATCCTTAGAACATGAAGCTGCATTCCTTTGTGAGTGTCCTGAGGTAGGCACTAGTGTCTGAACTCTAGACCTGATAGGTAAGGCATTGGTACCCTCTTAGCCATCTCTCTAGCTCATAGTTTGTTATCATGGAGCTTATTTATGTACAGCATTATTAGCATTTTGAAGAAGACTTTCTTGTGTGTTAAAGTCAATGGGAGTGATGTGCTCTGGTTTAGGTGTGGGCAGAGCACATATTTTCTACTGCTAATTGATAACGTTACTGTTGAATTCAAATAAAAGGTTAGCAGTTACCAACAGTTACCATGGAATGGAAACCCAGATCCATCAGATTCTTGCTCCATAACTCAACCACCATTTTGAAATTTTACTATGTGAGATATTTATAAAAAAAAACCCTTAACACAAAGAGAGTAGTTAAGGCTATATTAATTCACATGTTTTCCTCTTCAAGTTCCTGTTGTGACAAGGGATACAATAATTTTCTAAGTTAAAAAAAATTAGTGTTTCACATTTGAGGATGTGTGAATTTTGTTCTTGTCTCATGCCATAAAAAGAGACAAGAAAATATAAGATATCACAACACTTAGAAAACATCAAAGCCCCAAGACAGGAATTAGAAAGTTCAAAGTAACATACTAAGAACATATAAACTCCAATGTTGATTGGTGAGCAGGGTAACCAATGAAACAGACACAGCACAGCACAACAGATCTGCCCCACAGAACGATAGTTATGATCTACTATATGCCAAGTACAATTTTAGGTGTACTTAGGTGTCCTCAAGCAACTGATTTTTAGTGCTGACGGTGCTATGAACTCTAAGCAGATGCATTGGAAAGTCTACCAATAGGTTAGAACTTGACAAATGTGACTTAATCACTCATTGGTAAGGTTATCTTAAGAGAACTGAAATACATCTGTCTAAGCTAACAATAATGCTGATATTTGCATAAAAATTAAGTTCAAGTAATCCACAGAGCACACCCTTCAAGAACTTTTAACCAAGTGGAGTTATGAAGTGCTTCTGATATGCTGCTATAAAAAGTATTTATAGAAGTCAATCAAAAGTTTTCCTCCTATTCCTTTAGCCTCATCAACTCCTCAGACCTGGGTAATGCAGGCCAGTTGGATGAAACATTACAAGTAGATTTAAAAAGTATGCTTGCAGCCATTCTGTAGACCTATGAAAACTTGTAGAGGTCTGTGATAAAGGTTCCATTGTTGCAGTGCATACACTAAGATTAATAAGAAGAAATACTAATTCATTTGGATAAAAGAAACAATCTGATTGAAATAATCTGTCAAATATTTTAGGGATGGAGAAAGTTAATTATTTCAAAATTCTATGAAAACATTATTATTAAAGAAATGTAAAGATAATTTAGTATAAGTAGTCTAAAATGTTTCAACCAAAATCCTTAAATTTTTACAACTCAGCCCTAGAATGAGTACAAAAGAATATGAGAAAAAAGAGGCACAAGATACTAAAAACAGACACAACGTTTAAATGACTCAAAAGCTCTGAGAAACAGCAATCAAATTATATAATTTTTCCCTCCGATTGATAGGGACGGAGTGAATTGGTCTACAGTGTTCTAAATTTGGGGTTTGAACGAGTATTTTTTTTAAAGAGCAGAAATTTCTGAAGCAGCAGAAAGAGTGACGGCCCCTTCATGCTTATGTTAAATCACCGTGAGAGTGTGGAGGGGAGGGTGAGGACCAGGGAGAAATGGGGACAGTTGGAGGGAGACAAAGGATTTGAACAGAGAGATGATTCTACAGGCAGAAGTTGGCATGCAAAATTACAGACTGGTTGGATAACTGATTAAGGGCAGTAAAAAGCCCATGTGTCTCTGGTCTGCACTGCAGAATGCAGTTTCTGGTAGGTAAAGGAAAACTGAGCAGACTAGCATGTTGCCATGGTAGCAGAGGAAAGCAGGTCAGCTTATTTCATTTGGTGTGATAAGCAATGTGGAGAAAATGCAATTGCAGAGTAATACTTTCCTTTTCAACCAGAAGCACAGAACGAGCTTAGTTCCACAGTATTGAACCTGAGTGCACAGATAAATTGATCATCAATGGAATGCCATAAATTTACCCAAAATGCATTTGTTACCTACTTTGAAAGTCGCTGTTTAAGAACTTTGTTCCTCATGTAGCTCATCAAGAATTCAAAATTAGGTGACATGAAATGATTTTTACAAGAATTTGAGGAAGCAGTGGTATAGGCTCCTATCAAAAATAATCACATAGAGTTCAAGCAACAGATGGGCAATTAGGGTGAAACAGAAATGAAATGGTCTCTGTCCACACACTGTCAAATGCTATCACTTGGGCTTCAGGACAAAAATTGACAGGAAACGATCCCATTGGTATTCCATAGCCATAGGAGTTTATGTCCCCATATGGCAAGGCTGGTGCTGTCAGAGTCCCCCACATCACGACTCCCACAGCACTGCTATGGAAATGCCATTGGCACAGAAAATAAAAACACGGCTAGCTTTCTACCAAGTTTCCAATTTACATTTGATGAAGACACAAATATTTCCCATACCATTTATCTGGTCTTTCTGATTCACTTTAAATTGCATTTATTAATAATAAAAAAGTTTCCACAAAAAATATTGATACTATCCTTTATAATTTTTCTCCCAT